TTTTAACAGCAGAAAAGAACATCTTTATTAGAAGGGAAAGTACACTTCCAGGGGTGGAAGCGGGCCTGAGCAAGAGAAGAGTGGCTCAAAGGCCAACATGCATTTTAAAAAGAGAGTGGAAAGATCACAGTCCAAAGGCGTTGGTCTGTCAGTGAGGGCAGAGAGGCCCAGAAAGACCACGGAACACAATCAGTGGTTTGATCAGGATGACAACTTGGGTTTCCAATTCTCCATCCAGGGCCCTTGGCAACCCACTATACTGCTCCCCATTATGCACCAGTTCTCTGATGTTCGAAGAACACCATGGGTGTTCAGTAATCTGTGGCACATTTTCTAGGCCTCTCTCCACTAGCCTGTAAGGTCTGTTAGGAGAAGCCACCTGGACCTCCATCAGCCAGCATAGCACCACAAGTGTTCATTCATGCTCTCTGAGGGCTTGGGCACATATCACATCTTAGCAGACAAAACTATCTTAAGTCTTGAAATGAATATACTTGATAAAACTGCAAATCATATATGCCTTAATAAAATGAAGGGTGCATCTCACTGCAGATTTGTTTTCACCATCTCTATAAAGTTCTTATTCCAAATATGTTTTGCTTGATGAAGGCTCCCCATGCTGTGTCCTATTTAGGGAGAGTAAGTAAACGAAATGTATTTTAAAACCGCCTCCTCTTTTTGACTCTACATTCTATGTGATAAGTAACAGGCATTACCATGAGGACTTACTATGTTATCTCCTACTAATTTTGCTTAAGAAATGTAAAAAGTAACATCTGCTTTTATCTTTGTTCTTATCTATTTCCAAAGCTAAATATGAATTTCTTTTCCTTTAAGCCGAGAGTTATTGTGAGAGTAAGAGAATTTAAATAGTTCAGATTCTCTCCCCCTATATGTCAGTAGTTATCTTTTTCTGTCCAATAAGCTATTGTCAAAATTCTGAAACTACACAAGTCCAACTATCACAATCTCACTCTCGGAGCATTCAAAAGCTTCACTTAAAATTTCTACGAGTTAAAATAACTAATGCAGCCACCCTTCTTTATAACAACCTTTCCCGCAGAACCCCTTCTGATTACAGATGCCTCCAGCATACTACATGCATTTACATTTACCTGCACCCAACTCAGAAGCAACAGGTAAAACCTTCTTGTGCCAAATGCTTGGAAATTGCACACAGAGACTTCCCACACAGCAACTCTCTTTCACTGAAGGCTTCCCCAGCCTAGGATACAAAGCTAAATATAACCAGGGTTACAAATTGTAGCTAAATCCATCTCACAGTTATGGGCTCTCAAGCAGGACTTCCTTAGAGAAAATTATTCCTAATACCTCACCACATACATTAAAGAACAAAAAAAACTCCTAACATTAAATCACTGAAGCATTTAACTATAGTTTCCAATTAATGGAAACATTATTTTCTGTTTTGAAGGGTTTCTAGTCCTCACTAAAGTTGTTTGAAAAGCATGAAACTATAAGCATATGCTTCTGTAAGGAGAAGGAGTAGTAGAAAAACAAAGATTTAAGAAGTTTCAAAATTTAGCCTACATCTCACAATATGGCAATATATTCTAGTATCAGTAGCCAAATAACAAACTGAAGGTGATTGTATAAGTATTTCGTAAAGAAAGACATGACAAACCACCAAAGTGAATAGCTTTTACAGGAGCCAGTAAGATCTACACATAAAGTACTACAGAAGTGTATCTCAGAACTTGGTTTGACTGTAAATCCTAAAGAGTTTAATATTCTTACTGACAAATAAGAACAGTTGTTGACTCTTAAGATGTTTTCTGTATATACAGTTGCTCACAACTACTTCTGAAGATCTTCATAATAAAAAACAAGGTAAGAGACACTTTCGTTCAACATTTACTTCTGAAATACAACAGACTAAGGTGTACTGGGGTTGACTACAATTAATAAATTACATAGATGTGAAACATATGACTTTCCAGCAGTTCCAATGCCTGGTACTGAACAATGAATTGTTTTTATTACAAATATTGAGCGCGCGCGCACACACAAACACACACACACACACACACACACACACACACACACACCTCAATCCCAATCTAAGGGCAGGAAAGACGCACAGAGAGCTTGCAGCCACACAATGCAAAATGCTGACTTGGACATTAATTATAGCAAAAGAATGATTAATAAAGCAAATCTTGCAAACCTTCAGCCCTTTCTCTTTAGGACAGGCTATGTAGGCAGAATAGTGCTGAATTTGGCAAATAATTGCTTTGCCTCTCCATTTTGCCAATGGAGATACTACAACATACAGATGTGACTTTAGGAAACCTTGACCACACTTTGTTCCTGCCAAGAACTACTATAAATCAACGCTGTGGACGTCTTTACACAGAATGCTGACTCTTTGGAACGGAAACAAAGGAGGGTGCTGCTCTGCTCGGAGAAACCCAGCCAGGCGCTCCAAGGCTCCGGGTTCTCCGAGGCTGCCCCGCACCGCTCCTCTCGCGCTCCAGGGACTGGGGAGTCCGGAACTGATGGCGGACTCGGTTTATTTCCCAAACTTCAGGAGACAGTGTCTACCTTAACTCTGGAGGCTGAAGCAGGAGAATGGGGTGGGGGCGGTGAAGAAGCACTCTGTTTCGGGTGCATCCGTTGCCTACCCACTTCTTCACCCCGATAGCACCCTTTCTTCCCCCTCACCTGTCCTGAGCGCGGGGCCTCAGAGGTCCGGTCGCCTCTCCGGGCTCTCACTCTGGGAGCTGTTGGGGCGTCTGGCGCCTCGGGAGACAAGCGCAGGAGGTGGTGGCGGGGTCGGGGGCGTCAG